TTTTTTTGGTTTAATTGGCTTGTAGGTGAAGCATTTTGATGTATTGTGCTATTTGTTAAGAAGGGGGTCCAGGGGCTGTTGAACTAGTTGAGGAGGTTCAACATTGATTCTCTAACTTTTGATGAAAAATCTCATTTCATAGCAAACAGTAAATTGGTTTAAAGATTTTAACTTACCAGTTACTGCCTTAGCTTAGAGCCTACTGGTAATTGTGCATTCACATGTATTATATTGTTGTTTTGGAAATCATAATATTGTGCAAAGCAATTAAGCAAATCATGGGCCTTGAAAAATTTTAGCTTACTGGATTGTTGGAAGTTGGACTTGGAAATTCGGAAAGTTACCTATTGGTAATTATTAATTAAACAAAGATAATGTATTGGTAACAAAATCGTTAAGCAATCTACCGTGCACAACTGTGAAATTTGTGTTGATGGTTTATGGTTATAGTTTTATCAATTATATTTATACCTTTATGGGATATTGAAGCATTTTGATTTTTATGCTTTTAAATTTATTATGAAAGAAGATCGACCTTCTTCCAAGAAAGGAAGAACCTTGTCATCCTCATTTTCAAGTAACTACACTTTCTGATTTATGTCGAGAATGGGATGCAAGTAGAAGGTCGGAGAGTTATGTCATTTTGATTAAATTGATTTGTTTAGTACTGACACTACTTGTTTCAACGGCGATTGTGGAGCGAACATTTTCAGCAACAAAACATGTGAAGACGAAAATTCGTAACAAAATGGATGATAATTTTCTTGCTGATTGTTGAACGTTAAACATTGAACGAGAATTTAGTATGAATTTAGATCTACATTCTATTATAAATAAAGTTTATGTTGTAAAATATCACCGGGTACAACTACAATAGGTAACTTATATTAACCCAACTACCTAAAAGCAAATTATTTCGGAGCTGCATTAAAAAAATGAGTTTCAATTTTTTGAATCTTTCCCATATTTTGAAAAAATGAGTTTCAATATTTTAATAAAATTTAGTGTTGATGAAATGTTATTTCCAGTAAAATTTAGTCATTTGAGTTGTCTTTCCAATGCATTTTGAAACAACTCAATCGGATATCAAAAAACAAAGTTATAACAAAAATATTGATAACTGCATAGAGACAAAAATAGGCAAGCACAATGGCAACTTTTCTTATTAGATTTAAATTATTCTAAGATTCTATCTTTAACAAATATTCGGCCAAACTTCGAGGCCTATAAATACATAAGAGCAAAATACATTAAGGGGAACCTCTCATACATTATTTTCATCCTTTATTACAAGGAAAGAGAAGTCAATTCACAGATCTTTCGAGAGAGGTTTGCAAGATTTCAATTCTTTGAAGATTCAACTTTTGTCATTGGATGAAGAAGATAAGAAACAATTGAAGATTCATCAAGAAGCTATTGGAGAAATTCAAGATTTCAAAATTCATCTTATTCTTTTTAATTATCAATAGTCAGGATTATATTCTTTTCATTATTTATGATTTTTTATGATTTTGTAATGCTAACTTAGCTTTTTAATTACTAAGACATTGATGAACCCTCGTTATGATGATGTAATATAAATACGATAATTTGACTTCAGATATGTATGTATTTTTGGATGACTGTTACAGGATTTTCTGACTTGTCAATTACTTGATCACTAATTAGATTGATTGTGAATTTTATTGATTTCGAAAGAAACAATAAGAAAGCACTTCATAATAACCATTGTAAAGTACGATATAGGATAGAAATATACTATGGTTTTAATAACTTCTTTCATGTTCACATTTTTCAAAGAAATATAGGAAGGGCACATTGTTATAATATATTTAATTGACGTTGAGATATATTTCTAATTAACTTAGGAACATTGATCAACAAGAATTTACACCTATTGTCATGTTATTTGATTACATTGAAACAGATTAATAAACGGCATTCGAGATCTTAGTAACATCTCATCTTAATTTACAAAACTTCATAATTTGCTCACTAAAATTCTTGGTTTAATTAGATTAAATAATATAAATTCTTCAAATACAATTGGCTATTTGATTAGAGCTAGAATTAATTGATCCTTCAAGTACATAATCTTCATGGGAATGATATCCTACTTATCACTTTAGTACTTGTTCTTGACACCGTACACTTGTGCAAAAAATCGAACGATCAAGTTTTTGACGTCGTTATGGGGGACTATTATATTTAATAGATTTTAGTTATTTTTAGCTTTGATTTGATTTTTTTTCTTTATTAGTTTCATTTTCATATTAGAAAAGTATTACAGAGCTTTATCTTTTTAGTTCTAGGATCTTGCATGTAATGTTTGAGGTACGATGATCATGCTCAATTTGATCTAGAAATTGAACAAACATTCATGTTAAGAAGAAAAGAGCAGATGCAAGCACAACAAAAATGGCAAGCAAAACTAGGGCAAAAAATATACTAAATCAAGTATTTGTTGAGTTGATTATAAATATAGCACATCAAATTGTAGCTGCGGGTAATAAGAATGAGAAACTAATGAGAGCATACATTATTCCAGTGATCATAGAAAGCAGATCAAGCATAGCCTATCCAGCATTCGGGCAAGCAAATTTTCACTTAAGGACGGATGTAATAAACATGCTCCAAATTGTGTTGTAGCTCTTTGGGAGACCAATTGATAATCCAAATATTCATGTCTAAAAATTTTTGGATATGTGTGCAATAATTTAATATCCAAGGGCTTCTAGTGATGCAATTCGACTGAGGCCATTTCCTTATACTTTGAGATTTAGCTACGGAATAATTTGACACATTCCCACTTCACAGCATCACGATTTGAGACAATTTGAGCCAGAAGTTCTTAAATAAATATTTCTCACAAAAAGGATTGCCAAGTTGAGAGATGAGATCCCTAGATTCTCACAACTTAATTCAAAGTGCTATTATGAAGTATGAAATAGGTAAAAACGTCTGCTTCAAAAATGTCCACAACAATGGTTGCAAAATTGGCTACAAGTCCAGTACTTCTACAATATCTTGACTCCGAATAGGAGGGTAACGTTGACTTTGCTTGTGATTGGGTCAATTACAAGAAAGACAGTGGATCAAGTGTATCAAATCATAGAAGATCTAGCATTCACCAATGCACCATGGCTAGCGGAAAGATCGGGTGGAAAAGGAGCTGCTAGGATGCATGAGGTTGACTCAATGATAGCTATTTCAGCATAGTTGCAGCACTAGCTGAAAAGGTAGATAATTGGGCAACCAATCAAACAATGAAAGCAGTTCAAACAGCTAGGCCAAGATGCAAGTATTATAGGTGTAATCATTAAAGTGCGAATTGTAATGTGGGAAGTCCATTTGTGCAATCAGTTGATGATGTGAATCACATAAAAAAAATTTCAGAGATCACATATAAAATTTTCAGAGATAACACAAGAATCCTCATTCCAATACATACAATTTGAGTCGAAGAAATCACTCAAACTTTTCTTGGAGCAACTATCAATCTTCTCAAGGCACTACATATCAAAATACATCACTAGGTTTCCAACAACCAGAATAAAAACCCTCACGGGAAGAAGCATTGAGTGAAATCGCAATGTCATCAACCTATGGTTGAAGTATCAACTAAATTCATACAACAAATTGAGAAAAATTTTCAAGTCCAACTGGATGCTATAAAGATTTTGGATAATTAAACAGGACAAATAGCTAAGACACTTTCAAAGAGACTACTAGAAGCCCAGTCAAGTGAAACTAAGACAAATCCTAAACAGCATGTGATGGTAATAAAAGTTGTGGAGAATGAAATAATCGAGAAATCACTTGTTTTTGATAGGTAATCGAGAAATCACTTGTGAAAGCACTAACTCTAGTTCAGGTAATTATTACGCGGGGTAGGGTTCAACTACCATAAATTGTAGTTAAGAGATAGATAGTATTAAATGAAAATGTAACTTCCACAAATGAGGAGCAAGTGGATAAATCTGAACAACTAGCAAAAATAGTTACAGATTAGAAGTCGGATAATCTACAGGTTAGGCAACAGTTTCTATCAAGACTTATGTTCATGTCCCATTTCCCTAGAGATTGCAAAAAAAGAAGGTCGACGAACAATTTGAGAAGCTTTTGGATGAGCTAAAGAAACTCTACATCAACATATCGTAAAGGAAATAATGGAGTCACCGCAAATGGATAATGAAAGCATCAAATATCCAAGAGACAAAGTCGATGATGTACTAATTAAAGCTGGAAAATTGGTATTCTAGATGGATTTCCTTGTTCTTGACATAGATGAAGATCAAAATATTCGAACAATCTTGAGTCGACCTTCCTAGCAACATGTCAAAATTGATTGACATGGAGAAAGGTGAGTTGGCCTTGAGGTTGAAGGATGAATAAGAATTCTTTAAATTACACAATCTATCCAAACGACCATCGGACCTTGAGGTGTGAAACTATATTGATGAAGACAATCCACGAAGTATTCAAAAGAGAAAACCTAAAGTTGGTGGAATTCCTGTTTTAATTCACGGATTTTTCATAGATGTCACTAAATTTGAAAATCTACCAAAATTGTCATTTCTATTAATGGTGCTAAAAATGACACTTTTTTGTGTGAGAGGTCCAAATTACCCTTAATGATATGTTTTTAGGAGCGTTTAATGCTCGACTTGAATGCCATTAATGTTATGGTGTGATGATTTAATTTGTATACATTGCACATTGGATATACGTCTATTATATTGGGTAATATGAATTTTGTTCATAAAAAAAGATAAAAGGTTTTGAAAAGTAATCATAAACAAATTTCTTCTATCATTAACAAAACTCAACTTCTTAACCATCTTCTTTATTCTTTCATCAAGAAGACATAGCTATTGGATTCATTATCCATTTTGAGAGATTAGTCTCTTACAAATTGTTTATATGTTTAACTTATAACTTACTATTTTTGAAATGTTAAATATAACATGGTCGTAGAAGTCAATTTTTAATTTAAAATATATGGCAAGTAAAATATTCACAATCATCCGACCAAATCAGCCAGTCATCTCCACATAATAAGAGCCAGATAGACAACAAAAATATCACAACATTACAAAGCAAATGCTGGATAAAAAGATAACAATGAACTTCTTCCACATTACAGCATTGGCTCTATAAAAACAAGAAAATGTTAGGTACATTATTAACATAGGATTGTGAAACTACCTTTACTTCTTAATGCAGAGACGATAAAGTAACGCCCAATTTATCTACGAGTCAAAAGACATTTTCACTTGGAAGGCTGAACATAATCACCATTAAGAAGGTAAAAATACATGATCTTGTAATAATAATCACCACCTCTATTTTGAATTTTTGATGAAGTTCCCAAACTAAATCTTACATATCAAAAACACAAAAAACATATCAATTCTCCAAAGCAAATTTACAATTCACATATTGACAAAATCAGAAATTCAAGAAAGCCTCAAAAAAACCAACAGGTTATAGAAGCAGACGAATTCAACCATTCAAAAATCACAAATCACAGGTTTTGAGTTTCATAAATTCATACATTCCCCGTTCACAAAGGCTGAAATCATAATTAGTCGACCGGAGTCGCTGGTCAGGAAGAAAAATTACTAAATCAAAATTGTTAATGTACTAACCTTATTACTAAGATTAGGGTCTGAACTGCAATTGGCGATTTGACTGTGGACTACAGGAAGCAAGTAGCAATGACGATAGGAGGGAGCAGGCTGAATCCTTTGCTGTTTTCCCTTTCCAATCGTTTGCGATTTTGCTGATTGTGATTTTTCCTTTCCAATCCTTGAATCGATGGCAGGAGGGAGTCAGCGACAGGTTTTTCAGTCATGTTCCTTTTAAATTAACAAATCAAAAAATTTAATTGGATAGCTTGATTCTAACAGGATATAAATTATGTGAGTTAGTAAAATAAGTTTCGATTGTCAAAAATAAATTCAGTTGCGACATATAGCCAGCAAGTTTTCAATCACATATGCATAGCCACCCTTTATAACTAATATACACTGTACACAAAACTAAAACTTGATAATTTCGCGTTAGTGAGAAATTCCTATCTATCTAATCAGCATCACATTACGTACGCATTTTTACATATTTAAGTATATCTTGTTACAGGGGGAAATCAGGAGGATCGAAAATGGCGGATAAGAGGTTTATCATAGAAGTGGAGCCGGCTAAGCAAGCCAAGGATGGGAAGCCGTCGATGGGACCCGCTTATCGCAGCGTTTTTATTAGGACTTGTACATAAACGTACTGTACATAGATCAATTTTAGTTAACCAGCTGGCACCTGTTTAGTTAGTTAGTTAGTCCAGCTCATTTTCATTTTGGCGTCAATACTTGCCACTATTTATAGAGACTTGTGTGTTCATTTTTCTCCAGATTTTCAGATCAATAAAACAAGATTCTTCATTCAAATATCTGATGTGGTATCAGAGCATTCTTATATTAGCATTGAATTGGGTATGTACCATGCTGAAAAATCTAGGAATGATGGTCTTAGCATCTGATTTATTCCTGAACAGATATATCCATGTAAATCTAGAACAATCATCTACCAAGGTTAGAAAATAATTGTGTCCAGATTGTGAGGTCACATGGTAAGGTCCCCCATATATCACAATGTATAAGATCAAAGGGGTTGTTTGATAACCTGTTATTCGACTCAAAAGACAAATCTGTAAGTTGCTACAGTCTCCGCGTGAATTGTGCCTGCAACTTGCTACTTCAAGATGTAAATGTTTAACGGATACAATATTTAGTTTGTATCGTAGGTGGTAAAGAAGAAAGTGATTATAGATTGACTTGGGTAGACTAGAGGAAAAAGTTAGGACCAAATTCATCCAATGTTACATAAAAAAAATAAAAAAATAAAAAAAGTCTACCAAAATTTTTCATTTCTATTAATGGTGCTAAAAATGACACTTTTTTGTGTGAGAAGTCCAAATTACCCTTAATGATACATTTTTAGGAGCATTTAATGCTCGATTTGAATGCCGTTAATGTTATGGCGTGATGATTTAATTTGTATACATTAAACATTGGATATACGTATATTATATTGGGTAATATGAATTTTGTTAATTAAAAAAAGATAAAAGATTTTGAAAAGTAATCATAAACCAATTTTTTCTATCATTAACAAAACTTAACCTCTTAACCATCTTCTTTATTCTTTCATCAAGAAGACATTACTATTGGATTCATCATCCATTTTGATAGATTAGTATATTAGAAATTGTTTATATGTTTATCTTATAGCTTACTATTTTTGAAATGTTAAATATAACATGGTCATAGAAGTCAATTTTTAATTTAAAATATATGGCAAGTAAAATATTCACAATCATCCGACCAAATCAGCCAGTCATCTCCACATAGTAGGAGCTAGATAGACAACAAAATATCACAACAACATTACAAAGCAAATGCAGGATAAGAAGATAAACAACGAAACTTCCACATTACAGCATTGGCTCTATAAAAACAAGCAAATGTTAGGTACATTATTAACATAGGATTGTGAAACTACCTTTACTTCTTCTTAATGCAGAGACCATAAAGTAACGCCCAATTTATCTACGAGTCAAAAGACATTTTCACTTGGAAAGCTGAACATAATCACCATTAAGAAGGTAAAAATACATGATCTTGTAATAATAATCACCACCTCTGTTTGAATTTTTGATGAAGTTCCAAACTAAATCTTACATATCAAAAACACAAAACACATTAATTCTCCAAAGCAAATTTACAAATCACATATTCAGAAAATCACAAATTCAAGAGACAATCAAAAAACCAACAGGTATAGAAGCAGACGAATTCAGCCATTCAAAAATCACAAATCACAGATTTTGAGTTTCATAAATTCATGCATTCATCGTTCACAAAGGCCGAAATCATAATTAGTCAACCGGTGTCGCTGGACAGGAAGAAAAATTACTAAATCAAAATTGTTAATGTACTAACCTTATCACTCAGATTAAGGTTTGAATTGCAATTGGTGATTTCAATGTGGACGAGTGGAAGCAAGTAGAAATGACGATAGGAAGGAGCAGGCTGAATCCTTTGCTGTTTTCCCTTTCTTATCGTTTGCGGTTTTGCCGATTGCGATTTTTCCATTCCAATCGTTGAATCGATGGCAGGAGGGAGTCAGCGACGTGTTTTTCAATTGTGGGCTACTGGGTCTTTATGCAGCGTTAGGTAGTGGGAGGTTCCTCTCGTGAACATTTTCTTGCCATTCGTAGAATCGCCGGCAGCAGGGAGTCTGAGACTGGGTTTTGATCGTCGGGTTGGTGGGTTCTACTTCAGCGTTAGCAATGAGAGGGGAGAGGTTCTCTCGTGATTGTCTATGGCAGGGGATGGTTGCTTCAATAATTTAATTGCTGGTCCATCCCTGGAACCATGGTTTGGTTTTGGGTTTGTCAAAATTTTCCCCAAAATTTTTCAATAATGCTGGTGGTACATCAGCCACTACCTAATGGTGTACCTAATGGTGAGGTGACAAGAACTTGAATAAAAATATCGTGAATTTTGAAACAAGGAACTGGAGGTGGGGATTTCAAATTTTTAAAACAAGTTGGCCCAAAACTAGACCCGGCCTGATTATTTAATAATAGATGAGAACCCTCATTTCAAAATTTCCCCAAATTTGGACCCTCCTCTCAAATAGATTTTCCCCAAATCTCTCCAACAACGAAAAACCTTGAAGGCGAAAATCGAGTTCGATGTCCAGATTCCATCGGCGACGAAAATTTGAACGTCTAAAACTTTTTTCGTTTTCACTTTGAATCCGAGCTTGAAGACCAGAAAGGTGCTGAGTTGAAAAAGTCAGCACGCAGAGCACTACCATTTGAATTCCTGACCTGCAAATGTGGGTTGTTCTGATGTGGAGTTGAATTCCTGACCTGCGAATGTGGGTTGTCTCGACTTCGAAAAAGTTAGTACCTGTTGATATTCTGGACTTAGCACCTTTAGGCAGAGCACCACACTCAACCGTGAACAATACCACCTGATTTTTACAGGACCAAATTATCGTTTTGCGTCTCGACAATTGCTACTTCTTGGTAATATGCTTGACTTAACTGATGCTTCAAACAAAAAAGTAGCTAGTGGATTTGTTCAGGAGTTATTGCATGACCCCCGTTTCATGAAATGGATGCCAATGGAATTGAAATTGTCATAGGAGATGGTATTAATTTAGGTGGAAAGAGAGATCGGGCTGCCATAGAATTGGCAAAAGTCACCTGCAGTTGCCGGAGAATTTGAAAAATTTGTGCTGGGGTAGTTGAGGAGCTTTCTCGGCCTTGTAGAGAGAAAACTGCAGACTGCAAGTGGTGGCTACACTGTCTTGCTGTGACTGCCCTTCTTCTGGAGAACATAAATTCTCTTGGTCCTATTATTTTGTCGTTAGTTTCCCTCCCTACCACTTGTGATGTGTAGTATGTATTCTTTTAGGTGTAGTGTGTTGTGTATGTGTAGTTGGAGTTCAGTTGGGTGACTGTAAAATTGAGGAAAAAATGTTGCTGTGGTGAATTAGTGGTCCTAACTAGTGTTCTTCACTTTTGTATGTGGGAAGATACTGTAATCTGATTCACCAATATTAATGAGACTTCAGTATTTGTCCTTTGGTTGTTGGTGTTAATTTTGGTGTTTATTGTGCTGTTGAGTTTGGTGTTCATTTGGGTGGCTGTGAATGTGAACTTATTATTGTAGGAACAATTAGTTTCCAATTTTCAATTAAAATCAACCCAGGCAAATTGGTGATCTAAATATGTTGGTGTTGATTTGAATATGCTGGTGGTGGTGAACTGAATTGGCAATACAACTGAAATAAACACCTAAACAACTAAAATGCTGTTGGTGCTGCTGGTGAGCTGAAATGCTGCTGGTTTACTAAAAAAGCTGCTGGTATACTAAAATTTATATGTTTCTGGTGAGCTAAAAATGCTGCAACTGTACTAAAATAATAACCAAAAGATGCCTCAGACATTAAGAAGGCAGAGTAACTACAAAAGTTAGTGGTCATTTTTGTTCAGCCACATAATCATAATCAAAATCAAAAGATGCGGTCATTCTAGTTTAATTACAAAACCAAGTGCACAGGTTACAAAAAAATGCCAAGTGCATCGGTTACAAAAAATGCCAACTGCACGGGTTACAAAAAAAATGCCAACTTTACCTCTTGATGGATCATTGCAAACTTCTTATTACTTCCATGTTATCTTGTGTCTCACACACTTGTGAAAATGCTATGGTCATCACTTGAGCCTCTTGCACTGGTAAGTTGCTTGACACATTGTCATTGGACAAACTACATTTGTTCAAACAGGTCGAGTTCTGAGTCACCTGCACGTGTTGCAATATACTTACATTAAAATTGTGACATATGAATAATAGAATTAGTGGTTAATTAATTATGGCCTTCACAACATACCTTATTACGACTCCAACAAACTTTTCATACGAAGTTTCTTTGGAGCGCCTTTACGTTTTGCACATTTCGGATCGAAAATGTTGAAGCTTTCTACATTCTCTCCTCCAAGTCCATGTGCGGCCAAATGATTATGTTTCGATTTTAACAATTCATTCGTCTACAATTCAACCCACTCCATTAACTGCTTCGAACGGTCTTCATTAATTGCAACCAAGTCAGCTATCTTAGTTAGAGCAGCACACAACTGCTCATATCTCAACTGCTCATGAGTACTCACCAAACCATCATACGTTGTTACCACCCGCGTGTAAGGTCTACTCATGTCTCTCCTCCTTCTTCGTAAAATGTACTTTTCCGGAAGTACTGACACCTCATTCCGAATTAAAACTGAGACCGCGTGTTTGCAAACAATGCCTCGAAACTCAAACAAATGATAGTTACACACAATTTCGCAATTGTCTTTACAAAAAGAAACTGTAAATATTTTTGTCTTCCTCCCTTCCTCAAGGATGATATCTTCACGAACCTCGTACTTCGCTATCCCCACATAACTCCTTCACGGATAGTACTTCACAATAAACCTTTTCGGTGAATTCTTTTTGAAACTCCTTGAATTTCGAGATTGTATAAATTTCTTGAAATTGCTTTTCCATCTCATACTTAGTAGCACAAGGAATCATTTGCAAGAATGATCTAAAATCAGCTTGAAATTCTTTTTCAACTTTACTTCTCAGAGCCCGTTCGTATTGCTCCACAAATAGCTTTAAAGATGTCTTTGAGCGCACATAGCCATCGGAGAATGCGTTCATACTCTCACTTCGTTGGGTGGTTGACATACCCGCCCAGAATGTAGTTCTCAAATAGCATGGTACCCAACGACTTTGGTTCTCATAAAGTCCGTTCAACCAATCATTATCTTGCAAATGAAAATGTACAAGCATGTTCGACCAACCTTCTTCAAACTCCTCAAAACTAATGTATCGTACACTAAATCGTGAATGACATACAGTATTGCACCCTTTTCGGGATGACCGTCGAACTTTTCTGGCAATTTCTTTAGAATATGCCATAAACACCATCTATGCTTAGTATTGGGGAATACAATTGCAATTGCATTTTGCACAGCACGATCTTGATTTGTAATTATACCACCAGGAACTTGACCCCACATGCACTCAAGCCATGTCTTAAATAACCAAACAAATGTATTTGCATCTTCATTCGAAACTAATCCACAACCAAATAAAGTTGATTGCCCGTGGTGATTCATCCCTACGAAAGGAGCGAATGGCATATCGTACTTGTTAGTCAAATAAGTGGTGTCAAAAGTAACTACATCATCGAATTCTTTATATGCTTGCCTGCATCTATTATCCGCCCAAAACACATTCCGTAACCTAGACTCCTCATCCAAGTCTATACTAAAATAAAAACCATGACTGCATGCTTGCATTTTCGAAAAGTAACTCTGTAATGCAGCAGCATCTCCTTCACCAAGTCTTAAATGCCATACTTTATCAATGAAATTCCTACAGTCTTTTTCAACACAAGTCATGTTCTGGAATCCACCCGCCTCCACTACAGTTGAGTTATAGCTTTTATGCAATGGGATCCCTGCTATGTCATTGACCTCAAGCCGTTTTTTAACGTGTGCACTAAGTTCTCGAATGCATCGATATAACCTAGATTTAGATGGGCTTATCTTATGGTTATGTTCTAACTGCACAACGTTTATTTGCCATATTCCACGAGCATCAGAACACGCTGTCAACCTAGCTCTGCACCCTATTTCAATCGTCGGTGGAGGATTCAAAGAAGTACTTCTATTAGTCTTCCGTCGACCTTCTCAACTACAAGTAAAGCTCACGTATCGAACAACCCCATCATCACCCTTCTTAGAGTTTCTTTTTCTAACAGGGAACCCTATTTCGTAAGCATGCTTCTTCTAGAATTCAAATAACTCCTTCTCACTGTCAAATTTCATACCAACCTTCGAAACGAAAATCTCAGTTTCTACTCCCAACCTATCATCAGGGAAACAATCATCACTAACGCACTCGGATGAGTAAACCTCCATTCCTATATTTGAGCAATTAAATATCTCATATTCAAATATTTAATTAACTAAAATTTCATACAGATTGAAAAATATTGCATTCCAAATAACTAATGTACTAAGTTACCACTTTTCACATTGCAGTCTACCATGTTATCGGACGGATGCTCAATTTGTTGGTTACTTTCGGTCTGCTTATCTGTAGCGGAGGAAGGAGATGAAGCAAACGAATAAAAAGGAAGAAGAACTATTTCACAAGCTTGTTGAAATATATCAAAACTTTCACAAAAAGGAAGCAAAGTTATTTCACCATTGCTGCAGTACTCACCGTGGAGTTCCTCGCCTCTGGCTCCCTCACCCTCGACTTCATCGCCATCCATACTGGGTTGAATCTCGTTGCTAGGCTTCCCTCTTCTACAGTTGTTTGTCGATGTGAATGAGGAAAATGTGAAACTTGAATAGGGAAAATGTGAAGAGAACGATTGGTATGGCTTCCCTCCTTCTACAATCGATTAATGTCGATCTCCCTAATGTTCAGCTTGAAGGAGGGAAATTGGAAGGGAGTGAACTGTGAATATTACGAGGGTTTCCATTTTCGGTTCAATTTTTGCTGTTCTTTTTCCTTTTTCTTTTTTTTTTTTTTTGGAACAAAAATTTCCTACACTTAACCAAAAAAAGGGGGAGGAGGAGATTATGGCAAAATCTCCTCAAAATCTCGCCATTAGGTACAGCATTAGGTAAATGCTAATGTACCACCAGCATAGTTCAAAATTTCTAAGTACAATTGGGAGGTGATTGGTTCTTTGATTTTATCCACTTTTTGTATAACTTCTTCATGTTGTCAGTTCAAGGCCATGTAGGGTATTTAAATTCTGTAAAGAGACAAAAAAAAGTCCAAAAATGACAATCTTGTAAAGACTTTCAAAATTGACATTTTTGAAAATGCAAAGCCAAAAATTAACATGTAATGCAATTTTCTCTTTTAATTATTAGGGTTATATATGTTGCTGTATAAGAAATTGCATAACAAGCTGCGATGGGATTCCATCTAGAAAACATAAAATAACTATTTTTTTGCAATACACATTTGATTCTCGATGTATTTAGTATCATCAAGTCATTCTAGAGTGATTAGTGAGGATACTTCCTGCAAATGAAGAGCACACAACAAAGCAAAACCAATATTTGCTTTTTCTATCATAGATTTTAAACTGCTATTTTTTTGAATTAGTCAAATCGTTATAGAAGGGGAAAAAAGTAATGGACGAAAAACAAACAGTCAAGAAGAAGAATTTGCAGCAAAATAAATTTTACGATACGGTTAGAAAAAATATAATCATGTAACCATTCTCTAAAACAATGTCAAAATGATTAAAGGATTTTTATTATTATTTTATTTTATTTTTTTGATAATTAAATTGATAACTCTAAAGATATACATACGAAGAGCAGATTTCACATGATTGAGACGGCCATAAAATAATACAGACTGATAACTATAGAATTTCTAGCACTCCCCATATCATGCTAGCAATAATTACAAAATCCATATCCAAATATAATTAATTGACTTATCTTAACATATTCGAGCATTTTTAACGCATTCAGTGGATTGCTTTATTTAAGTTGAAAAACTTCCACAGTATGTGACATTGATACATAATAAATAGGCCCTCAAGTCAAAATGTGCTCTCTAGTGGGTTTTGTCACAACTCATTAATAAAACTCGTATCTAAATCTACATAATAATTTTAAATCCTACTGAGTTCACTCCGTGCAACAAAGATTTTTAATCTAGATGAAGCTCTTAACAATAACTGTTTTTTATTTGTCTCATCAGCTAGATAGAGTCTATGTTAGATTACGTTGGTTTATTGTACATTTCGCTTATTAGGTGAAGCTCGATGATAAAAAGTGAAATTAAGATAAAGAAGCAAAAAAATGCAAAAAATGGTGAAATTCAAAGTTTAAGAACTCAATTGCAACTTTGAATAATTTATTCGAACCACGAAACGATAAATGAATATTGCTAGATGTCAATTGGATGAAATTAAAACTTAAAGAGGACTGAAATATAATCAAGTATTTTTAAAAATCAATTTTCAACCACACAACTTATGTTTCACATCATTAGTAGGAGATTGAGATCCATTTTCGCAATAGTAAACGTTCAAATTAGGAACATAAGATCAAAGTTTTCCTTTATCTTAAATTGTATCCCAAATACAAGATTAATTCCCAACAAAAGATATATTTTGAGTAAAATTTAGTGTTGATGTAATGTTATTTCTAATAAAGTTGTAGCCACTTGAGCTGTCTTTCCAATGCATTTTAAATCGCCTCAATAGGAAAGTTACGACAAAAATAATGATAGTTGCATATTGACAAAAATAGGCGAGCACAAAGGAAACTTTCCTTAATAGATGAAACTATTCTTGGAAACAATTTTTAAAGAATTTTCAGCCAAATTTCGAGGCCTATAAATACATAAGAGCATAATACATTAAGGGGAACCTCTCATACATTATCTGCATCCATTATTACAAGAAAAGAGAAGTCAATTCATAGATATTTTGAGAGAAGTAAGAAGTAATTGCAAGATTTCAATTCTTTGAAGATTCAACTTTGGTCATTGGACGAAGAAGATAAGAAACAATTGAAGATTTATCAAGAAACTATTGGAGAAATTCAAGATTTCAAAATTCATCTTATTCCTTCTATTAATCCATAGTCAGGATTATATTCTTTCAATTAATTATGATTTTGTAATGCTAAGTTTGGGTTTTAATTACTAAGACATTGATGAACCCATGTTATGATGATTTAATATAAATGCGATAATTTGACATCCAATATGTATTTATTTTTGGATGATTGTTATAGGATTTAATGACTTCTCAATTACTTGATTACTAATTGGATTGATTGTGAATTTTATTGATTTCGAAAGAAACAATACAATAGAAAGCACTTTATAATAACCATTGTAAAGTATGATTTGTGATTGAGATATACCAGGGTTTTAATAATTGTTTTCATGTTCACACATTTTTCATAGAGATATAGTAAGGTTACATGAGATATTATATTTAATTGACGTCGAGATATACCTTTAATTAACTTAGAAACATTAATCAAAACAAATTTACACACATTATCATGTTATTTAATTACATTGAAATAAATTAATGAAGGGCATAACATCGCATCAAAATTTACAAAACCATCATAATTTGCTCACTAAAATTCTTAGTTCAATTAGATTAAGTAGTATAAATTCTTCAAATACAATTGGCCATTTGACTAGAGCTAGAACTGATTGATCCTTGATTAAGTACATAGTCCTCATAGGAACGATATCCTACTTATCACTTTAGTACTTGTTCGTGATACCGTACAGTTGCAGAAAATCAAACGATCAAGTTTTTGGCGTCATTATGGGGGACTATTATAATTAATTAGTTTTGGTTAATATTAACTTTAATTTGAAATTTTATTTTATTTTTTGCTTTATTTGTTTCAATTTCATATTAGTAAAGTATAACAGAGCTTTATCTTTTTATTTTTTGGAATTTGCATGGAATGTTAGAGGCATAGTGATCGTGCTCAATTTGATCTAGAAATTGAACGAACATTCATGTTCGGAAGAAAAGAACAAATAGAAGCCCAACAAAAAATGGCAAGCAGAACTAGGGGCAAAAAATATACTAAATCAAGTAGTTGTTGAATTGATTACAAATATAGCACATCAAA